CGCGGTTCCATCCCGAGTCCATCGCTGCCGTGAATCCAATTCTAGGCCCGGCTGACTCTCTCCCTCCCTACTCTTGGGGTTCATACCTCCTCATCAATCCACAAGAACAGCATATATTGTATCTTTCCTTCTCCAGGACGAGGCGAGATGGATTATTCGTTCTATTCAAACCATCCCCAGCAACCTTATCCTCTCTACGGCGTCCACGGGCTGCCCACTCCCGACCAAGGCAATTCGGCCCCTCAAGCCGAGGCCATCCAGGGCGCTTTCGCTCCTTTGGTCGGTCCCTCTTGTCTTTGTGGATACTAAGTCATTTAAACTTCTCACGACGCTGACTTGTGGAAAGGGAGCGCAAAACTATCAGTCTTTCGATCCGAACTTGCGCTTTCAGGATCCTCACGCAGCCGCTGCCTTCGTTGCCCCGCCACACTCGCCTCCCGAGTCCCTCACCAAGCAGTCGGTCACCAGCAATGAGTTCTCTAGCCAGAACGTTGACCGAGCCTCTTACGATGGAGATGATCAGCTCTTAGACCAAAGCCTCGGTCGGAGCAGCAGCGAGGAGAAAGAGAGTCTGACCCCGGCGCAATCGAAGCGAAAGGCCCAGAACAGAGCTGCGTGAGTGGTTTCAGATCGAGGACTGCGTTATATGCCATGAGACTAATCTCTGATTACTGAATTCAGCCAGCGCGCATTTCGTGAACGCAAAGAACGCCATGTGCGTGAACTGGAAGAGAAAGTTAGCAACCTCGAAAATGCATCAAACACTCTTGTGGCGGATAATGAGCGACTGAAGAGAGAACTGGCAAAGTTTACGACCGAAAATGAGATACTTCGGGCAACATCAACTTCAATACGCCAGTCAGGCCAGCGCTCCACCGATGAGGAACCGACAACGACAGGGCCATTGCAATACTCGCCCACGGATTTTAAAGCCGATGCAGTTGGGGGTAATGGCCCCGCTCATCGCATCACCATATGCGGAAAGACGGGTGAGAAATTGCTTGACTCGGGAGCCACTTGGGATCTCATCCAGAACCATGAACTCTTCAAGCGTGGCCTAGTGAATATTGGCGATGTCTCGGGTCGGTTGCAAGGTACTGCTCAGTGCGATGGGCAGGGGCCTGCCTTTCGGGAAAGCCAGGTCCTTCAGGCCATTGAAGAAAGTGCAGCTGCTGGCAACGATGACTTGTTGTGAATTCGCCTTTTAGCATGGATTCAACGATGCAATGTCTTGCTTCTTGGTCGCTTTATTTCGGTGCACGGGCGTCAGGGTTTGTTTTTGGAGTATATACCGCTTTTCACAAGCTTCATGGAACATATGCTGCGATCTGCTACTGTTTCGTGAAGTGGAGGACCCCATTGAGTCTTTCCTGGAGTCATTGGAGATTGATTTAGGAGTGAACCATTATACCTACTGCTACCAGAGTTGTTCTCAAATTTGAATGGGTTTCCTTGTTCTCAGGCTCAGACTACTATTGGTTGATCCCCTGGGTACTCTGTTTGCTTAGGGCTACGTAGAACTGCATGTGCATTGCCACGGGTTCTGTAATTTGCGCTATCCGGAGTGAATCCTCACCCATGCTGTGGTATTAACCTAACAAGGTCCCGACAGATTGAAGTCCACAGATACCTTACAAGGCATGTTTGCTCGACGATCAACGTGAGCTATGGCCTGGTTGTATCTTGAACACTTTTGCCAGACAATGGCTCTTGAAAGCCAATGGGCATAACTCGCAAGGAAAGGAGAAAATATTACTTTCTTCATCAAAAACTTGGGTACATCAGCTACTCTGTAATAAATAACCCAATGTGTGCTGGCTAATCTGAACACGATGCATACAGCTGCACCGCTTGCGTGGTGTAGATCCAAGCGACGTTGCCCTGGGTAATCATGCGTCAAGGCAAGGGCGACATGATAGCACTATGCTTGTTGTATAAGAATCGGAGAATAAGAGCGAGAGAAGTATGGGATGTGTGGCCCCAATAAAAGCACTCCATATCTAGTTGTTTGTTTGGGGGTGGGAGAGGTGAGGCTAGAAACAATTACTCCAGACAGCACTACAACCATAGATTGAGGGGAGGAAACCAGACGGTGCAGACAGAAAGGGTAGATGCAGTCTGCACCTTGTATCTAGTACTGTAGTAAATGCATACGTGGATGAACGGAGCGATTCAATCTGTTAACCCTGCAAACGCCAACGTTTCCTTTACCTGAAAGACTATCAAACACCCCGCAGTCGATAGCTTCGAACTCTTGGCAACAATTGGCCTGTGCAGACTTGAGAAATTGACTGGTAAATTCCTTTTTGTGTGCATGAGAAGAACACACGGGGTTATTGTTATTTTTTTTTTTTTCTTGGTTTTGATGAATGGATTATTATTACTTACTATCTATGTGGTGATTGAATTGGGATCTTCGTTAGCGGTGAGACCAGGGATGATTATTTGCGGGATTTACCCTCAGATCAACTCCTGATTATTACAGTTGCTCAATTACTCAATTCGTTCGTGACTACCTGACCACCTTCGTCATCATCCTGGAAGGGGATCAGGTGATGCCAATGTTTTCTTGATCGCCAATGCTATACTATACAGGTGTTCCATCTTGAATCGACGTGGTACTACTTACTTGAGCTGCACGTTGATCTGGCCCAGTAGGTGTTGTTGTGGGAACACACACACACCCCAGAAGTGGAGAAGGGGGAAGTTTAGTACGTAGAGAAGAAAGAGGGAAAAAGGGACGTGTTAGGTATTCTCCGATCCATCATGTCTCAGGCACTGATCGATGGTCCGATAAGGCGCGTGTGTTTGGGCCCCAAAAAAAGACTTCCCCCCAATTAACTAACACCAAACTAATTGAGGGCCACCCCCGTAAGCCCACCGTATTTAATTTACCTTCACGAGGGTTGCAAATGCGGTATCCGGGGTCACCTGTTCACCGCCCGGGATCAATCGGCCATACTAGGAAAGGGAGAACGTTCCATTCCGAGGGTAAAAGTACTACTCCAAAGTAGAAAGAATCAGGGTAGTTGATGAGATGAGGTGATAGGAATTTTCTCCTTGCCTTAACGACGATCGAGTTTTACGGAGGCGAATGGTGTGGTACAGGGAAGAATAATGGGGTTTACACGGACGGCATTCATTCGCCTGGAGAATAAGCCTCTAGTCAATGGGAGAGGAGGGGGGAGAAGTGTAGTACTAAGCATCATCTCATCATCGATTTTGAGGTGAGGTGCTTTGGGGTCACCGCGGGTAAGAGGGAAAAAAAAAAAAGTAGCGTGAGGGAAATAATCATCCGCCACAAACCGCGTAAAAAAACTAACTAGGTAGCTTTGGGGGTGATAGTATGGAACATTTGCTTTTGGGTTTAGGTTATTTTCACTTCGTGATTACCCATATTCTTGCCACTATCGCCAGACTTTTTTTTTTCGCCGCCTAACATGCTTTTTGGGTACTTCTAGAATGTCTTAGGATCAAAGCGGATCGTTTGCCTCATCTCTTTTCGTTTTGTTGCATTGGAAGCGCAGCATCTGGATGTATGAAATGGTTACATACGAGGTACAATCCTGTCTGCCTTAGGCAACCAGCCGTGATAGGTACAACCCGGATGCATCATGACCTAGTCCAATCCTGCTGGGCTGTCAAGTTCGTTGACTAGTTAACCTTGTTCAGTAATTACTAAGAAAAGCATCAGAGACCTACGCACAATAGGGTAGCCTCAAAAGATACCCGAGCTATAGTCAAATGCAAAATGTTTTGTGTGGTGAGAATTAAAGTACGTAGGAGTATTGAAGTTGCCCAGGCGTAAACTGCTGGATTGCTTCACCGACTCCTACTTCAGCCACCTCAAGGATAAATTGCAATTTCCACCCTGCTTCGGAGCCTTGTCTTCATTCCTGGTATCTGCAATTCTTCCCGAAATGACTGGCGTTATCCTTGCCTTGTAGGATCCCAGTTATAGCCTCCTACTTGGCCAGCCGCCGGGTATCAGCTTATGAAAGAAGGACAGCCTTGCTTTGAAACAGATCGGATGTTTGGTAGTTGGATTGTAGTTTAGTTTTAAGGTAGGAAGTAGACTTAGTTGGTGTTAGGTAGCCTTGGATACGGTACGGAAGAGGAAATAAAAAATACCACATTTACGATACGCTGGGGGGGAAAGGAAGGAAAAGTTGGGAAACAAGGTGACAAAAAAGCCAGACCCAAACAGGCCAAAACCAAGCGGCCAACCAACCACCGGCGGCTGCTAAACTTATCACAGTCAGTCTTGTTACTTACTTTACTTACTTTCCTTACCCGCCCCCTCCTCTCTCTCTCTCTCTCTGTCTTCTCTGAAGGCTGACCGGCTTGGCTGCTCTCTTTACTCTCGCATTTTCCCTCTCCTCTTTCTCTCCTCTCCTCCTCCTCTCCCTCCCTCTCCCCCCCTCTCTCAACCCACCTTCTCCATTATCAAGGCTCTGTCCTTGAGTCTGATATATTCTCCTTTTCTTTCTCTTGTCTCTCCTATCTCTTGTAGGTACGTTGTGTTGCTTTTCTCCCTCATCTCGTCGGTGACAGCCGCTAAAAGGTCTGTCAGCTTGATCCCCTTTCTTTTTCTCTCCGCCTTTTTCGCCTTTCCGGTCGGGTCGTCACGGTCGGTTCACCCCAACAGTCGACATCACCGCTATCTCATCTCTTCCTTCCCGTTTCTAGACCAGGTTCGTCCGCTTCTAGACTGCAACTCTCTTTTCTCTATTCCCCAGTGTCACTATTCACTTGTTTTGTGCCTCTCCTCTTGCTTGGCTTGGTATCTTGCTTTGCTCTTCGTTCAAGCCGCCTGCCCTCAGCAGACTCGCTCTGCCAAGTGACTACGCGCCGGGATCCTCCCTGCACCTTGTCCTCTGGTGATTTTGCCATCTCTCTGGCAGCATACATTGCCCACTGCCTTCACGCCCCTCTTGCCCCCCTCTTCTTTCACAAACACTCTTTATTCAACACTTCCTCGAGGGAATGATCTCATCTTCTCTATCGATCTATAACTAACCCGGACACCGACCTTTAGTCTGCTCAACACCTTACTCACACAACACGACGGCGTGTCTAATTCATCAAAATGACGACAATGGTTCGTGATATATGGATGTCTTTTTTTTTTTTTCGATGAACAGCTGTGACTAACACTTCTGTAGGATCTTCGTGTCGGTAACAAATACCGTATTGGACGGAAGATCGGAAGTGGTAGTTTCGGTGATATCTACCTGGGTGCGTGACAATTTTCAGGAGGTGAGATGAGTTATCTGGAGCAGCTGGCTGATTGTCCATTTAGGTACCAACATTATCTCTGGCGAGGAGATCGCCATCAAGCTGGAGAGTGTCAAGGCCAAGCACCCCCAGCTCGAATATGAAGCCCGTGTCTACAAGTCTCTTGCCGGTGGTGTCGGTATTCCCTTTGTTCGCTGGTTCGGCACTGAATGTGACTACAATGCTATGGTCATCGATCTTCTTGGTCCTAGTTTGGAGGACCTGTTCAACTTCTGCAACCGCAAATTCTCTCTGAAGACCGTGCTCTTGCTGGCAGACCAGCTCATTTCTCGCATTGAGTACATTCACGCCAAGTCCTTCATCCACCGTGATATCAAGCCCGACAACTTCTTGATGGGTATTGGTAAGCGTGGAAACCAGGTCAATGTGATCGATTTCGGTCTGGCCAAAAAGTACCGCGACCCCAAGACTCACTTCCACATCCCCTACCGTGAGAACAAGAACCTCACTGGAACTGCTCGTTACGCCAGTATCAACACTCACTTGGGTGTTGAGCAGTCCCGCCGTGATGATATGGAGTCGCTCGGATACGTTATGCTCTACTTCTGCCGTGGTACCCTTCCCTGGCAAGGCCTGAAGGCTGCTACCAAGAAGCAGAAGTACGACCGTATCATGGAGAAGAAGATGACGACCCCTACTGAGGTTCTTTGCCGTGGCTTCCCCAACGAGTTCTCCATCTACTTGAACTACACTCGTTCCCTGCGCTTCGATGACAAGCCAGACTACTCCTACCTTCGCAAGATCTTCCGCGATCTGTTCGTCCGCGAATCTTTCCAGTATGACTATGTATTCGACTGGACCGTCTACAAGTACCAGAAGAATGCTGCCATGATCGTGGATGCCAACAAGAAGGACAAGGAGGCTGAGGAGCAGCAGCGCCGTCAGGGTGTTGCTGCTGCGGCGCCCATGGGCACCCCCGGTGCTGCCAAGCCCGGTGCCATCTCCAGCCAGCGCCGTAAGGTCATCGAACGTGGAACTCTTGACAACACGCCCGAAACCAACCGGGCTGTGGGAGGGAGTGACAGGATGTGAGTATCTGAAACCTAGGTTCCGTTGTAGGGAACCCCTTTCCTCTGCGTTTGGTGCTTTGTTATGACCCTGTGCGTAGAGGTCGGCTTGAAATCTAGAATCTGACTAATCTCATAGTCTTCGGCGTTAGGCTGCGTTCTGCTTCCAAGGTTGCTGCTTCAGGTGCTTATGGCCCTGCCGGTAGCCGCGCGAAGCGGGACGATGGGTACGGTTCTCAGTGGTACTGATTTGTACAGCATGGCAGTGTAGCTTGACGTTTCTTTTTTCGGTTGCCGTTCAGCTTGCTGCGTGTTGACGCCACGCTATCTGAGGAGCCCAGGATTACCACTATACCGGCTATCTTCTGCAGCCTGCAGTGAACCTTTCGGACTTATTTCGCCTTGGGCCCCCGACTTTCCATTTTCTTTACTATTTCTCTCTCTGCATTCTCTGTTAGCCCGCCATCCCGTTCAAGATCGTCTTCCGGTTACCGCCGTTTCGATCCGTCGCGTTTATTCAGATCGTCTGCTCGTCTATCGGCTATGCTGAACCTTTCGGAACTACACCGCTCGATGAATACATCACTTGCAAAAACCTGGTTACGTTCATTTTACACGAAAGGTCCTTGATAGCAGACTCGAAACGCTCTAATTGTGGCTATTTTACGTCTTAGCCTCCCGTTAGCGGTCGTTTCCACATGAAAATAATACGTTCACATTTAACTTTCGCGTGGAGTTGCGCTGCCATCGATCGGGAGGCTAAAGACTGAAGGAGATGCAAAGTTGAAATGATTACGCTTCAAGCACAAAAAGAGATGTCTCTACCGCTGCACCTGTCGCGAGAGTCCCTCATCATGCTTAGCGACCATTTCCTTACAATGCCCCTGCTTTGATATTTCATTTCCTTTCTGCTTGCATGTTTCTTATTTCAGACTGTCATACTTTTCCTACTCTTGACGCACAAACGGGGACGATGAGAATGAAGGAACGACTGGTGGAGAGGTGTTGGGGAGGTGCTTCTTTTTCCCACATGTCCAGGTGCTTTTGGCGCTTGTCCTTGCCGAAAACAAGGGCAGCCTGTAGTACTTTGGGCGAGGAGAAAGCGCGTCTCAAAATGGGTATGTGGCGACGGAAACTGGCTAGGGTCGCTTCCGGGGTGGTATTGCGTCGATTCCTGTCACTTTCACATGTTTTTCCTTGTGTATCGTCTCAATTGTTAGCATCGGTCATCTACATACTGAGAGGGGGTAGTCGGTGGGATCAGCCGGGCAGAATGTGCTTTATGCAGCACGCATCTGAGCCGGTTCCCACTGACTCGCCACCCAATCGGGAACTATACATCTCGCAATCTGGTACAATGATGTAGAACAAGAGTTTCGACGTAGTTGACTCTGCTGTCAGTCGCCACATATTTCCGATAAAGCCCGCATAATGTCCGCCCTTCCATTTCCTGCATTCCAAAGCAGGATGCCTTGAGCAATAAGTATACCAAGAGCAGCTTGCCACCTATCCATACCCAATTGAGTAATACAAGGCCCCGTACAGCCACCACCTAAACACATCATATGACCTTTGTTGTATTCTATGTACGCATTACTCACGTTATGTAACTTTACAAAATAACAAGAAATATCATAGCATAATCCACATTAGGCATATACATTCCCTCAGGTAGTCCACATCTCAATACTTGTGAAGATGTCCAGCAAGGAACTGTCTCCCCTTTCGCCTGACTCACTGGACTTCAGTCTCATAGTGACTAATTATTTCGTTATAACTTAAATATTGGCTGCTGCAGTTTACTCAGTGGTAGGTAGTTACGTAGTGGTAGTTAGTAGAGGGCACGTACGCCAGCCGTATATTCGATGAGGTAATAAGGGTATCTGTCTATCAACCTATTTGAGATCTATCACAGTACTGGATTACGAATTCAAGTCATTTCGGTTGGGGAATATCAGAAGTAGATTCAGACAGAGGCTTCGTTAAGTTAAAAGGTAAACAAAGTAATGGAGTAGTAGTAATGGTAGTAGTACAGTCCAAAGTATGGAAGGTTGGAAGAAAAGAAAAGAATATAGATGAAAGGAAATGAAATGAATAAAAAAGGTGGAAGGGGTATAAAAGGGAAACAAGAACGAAGGGGGAAATGGGGTGGTGAGAGTTGAATAAATAACAAAGGTTGAGGCTTATTGAAAGGCGAAGAAAAATGCTGTAGCCACTAGCCATCAATCAATCAGCTGACTCGTGACATATACCACACACATACACACACACAGACATATTTGATCTCTCATCATAATCGGAGACAGTCATGTCGTGTTTAGGACATGCTTGCTGTTACATGATTCGTACCGGAGTGGCGAGGCTCGATCTTCTCTGTGGAGCTGGTCTCCTCGTCATCCAGACGACGCCTCCACTCGGCTAGACTGTCGCTCAGCCCCGTCTCCCTGGTTGGGGTTCGATCAAAGTCCGACTGCGTACTCAACCGATAGTTACGGTTGTTGCTCTCCCACTGAGTACGCAAGGCTTCCAGTTCGTTGGCAAGCGAGTCCAGCGCCACCGAGTTTCGATTGTCAGGGAAAGCGTCGTCTTGAGACACGGCACTGTCAGCCCGGGACCGACGGCCCGCACCGATGGTGTTGCTTGAGGCGTTACTGTGGGTGCGAGAGATGCCGTTGATTCCTTGGACAGGCTGTGACTGCCGACGGTAATGCCCGACTGACGCCTCAACCTGGTCAAGCAGCATGGTAACCTTCTGCTCGGCATCGGACGCACGATTCTCCAACAAGGCGTTCTCCTGCTTGAGCTGCTCCAGCTCAGAACGGCTTTTCTCTGCCGCAGCAGCAAGTTCCTGCTTGATACTTGCGAGTTCGGATTGCGATTTGGTCTTGTCAGCCTCGGCGGCTGCAGCCTCTGCTCTCAGCCTTGCAACCTGACTCTCAAGGTTGGCGATGGAGGCTGCTGTATCCTCCTGGAGATCGGAGATTGACTGCTCGAGTCTCGAGCGTTCGGCCTCCCAGTCGGCAGGAGCTTGCGAAGACTTGCCAGACGATTCAGCAAGAGCTGTCTGCGCCGCGTCGAGCTCCGACTGAAGCTTGCCGTTCTGAGACTTGTACCGAGCAAGCTCGTCCTTCATGCGCTTCAGCATCTTTTCAGTGCCCTTGACGTAATGAACAGCCGACTGGTAGTCATTTTCTAATTGCTCAAGCTTCTCTCTGTATGCGCGGTCGGCTTCCTGCTCACGAGTCTCGAAAGAGGACTTCAATTCTTCGTGGGCTTTCAAGCTGGTGGAAAGCTGTTGTTCCAGTTCGCGAAGCCGACCTTGCTCGGGAGTTCCGAAACGAGACCCAGGCGACTCAAGGGGCGAGCGTCTGCTATCGGCATAATTGACCCCACGCTCTCCCAGGAGGTCCTTCAAGGCAGCATGCTGGACGGCCAGAGCACCGGCCTCGCGCTGGTGGTTCTCCAGCTGTGACTTCAATTCTCTGTTCTCAGCAGAGTGGCCCTGACTTTCCTTCATAGCTGTTTGCAGCTGCCTGCGAAGCTGCAAACCCTCCCTACTAGCCTGTTCCTGATACGCCTCCAGTCCAGCAATCCTCTCCTCTGCACGACGGAGTTTGTCTGCTGCTTCGTCTGCAGCAGCTTGACTTGTCTTTGCCAATTGGTTGGCCCTCTCTATCTGAGCTTCCAAAGCAGAGACCCGCTGATCGGACAAGGAGCGCAAGGATGCTTCAGAATCGAAGGATGACGCACGCTCAAGACCCAACAAGAACGCATTCTTATGGGTCTCGGCTTCCCTCGAATGACTCTGCATGAGCTCCTCGGCATCTCGCAAGCGACGCGTGGCGTTCTCTAACTCGGCTGACCTTTCTTCGTGCTCCGAACGCAACTGCAACAGCTTCCTTTCTAAGCCTTCACGCCGCTCACGTTCCTCATCTAGTTGTCTCTCCAGAAGTTGAGACTTCTCAGATGACGCGGTAACAGCCTCTCGCAGGCCGCCGAGGTTAGTGCCATAGTCCCTAAGACGGGTGGAAGAGTCCTCGAGTTTCTGCAGAAGTTCCTCTTTGTCCAAGGACAATTGCTTCACTGCAGAATCGGCCTCCGATCGCAACAGACTTTCTTCCCTGAGAGAGGCCTCCAGCTGATGAAGCTCCGCTCTAAGACTTTCCGCCTCTAGTTTACTGTTGTGCATTTCTAGTTCGGCCAGTCGCCTCCGGGTGGCTTCACATGTTTCCTCCGCAAGCTCACGACCTCTCTTTTCCTGATCAAGTTCAGTGGTGATCACTTCCAGCTTGGATTTGAGCTCATTCTGCGACGCGAGAGCCAAAGCAAGCCTTCGGGTTAAATCTGTACCACGTTCCACAGAGGTATCTTCAGATTCCTGAGCATTTCCATCCGGTTGCGGGGTGCCCCTTTGACTTCCACCATGAGCAGCCAACTTGGCACGAGAATAAGCGGCTTCATTGACCGCAACATCCCTTTGGTGCTCCACCTCTGCAACACGTTTAGATGCGATGGCTGCCTGGCGATCGACTGTTGCCTGCATTTTAGCCAGCTCTGCTCTCATGGCAAGGAATGCTTCGATCAACGGGCGATCCTCATCCGCAAATGCATCTGCGGCACGCTCATCCACACCAACGCTGTTGGCCGGGTTGGGTGCATACCCGGCCTTCTTAGCCAACGCAAGTTCGGAAGCATACCATGCATTACGGCTTTTCACCGCTTCCAGCTCTTTAATTAGCGCTTCCTGGTGGGGCGTCAGTCTGGGCGACCGTGGTTCATCTCCAGATCTTGAATTTCTGTAACTCCTCGACTCCGTTGAACCATCAATACTAGCATGTTTACCAAGGATGGATTCATCGGCACTGTCCATAGAACTGCGTTGCCGGTGCTGGCGCAAAGACCTTTGTCTAGTTGGCGCACTTATAAGAGGTGCAGCCTCACCAGCTTCCATAGCCTTGGCAGACATTCTTGATGGCTGCTGGGTTGGCGTACGGCGACCGCCCGGTGCGGCACTCGAGTCTTGCGCCGGTCGGGCTTCTTTTGGCGAGTCCCTGGCAGCTGGTGATTCTCTATCCCTGTCGGGCCCCATGGCTCGAGCGGTATCCACAGGCGGGCCTCCATAAACACGATCCGTCTTCGTGGGTGTCTTGCTTCGGGGATTCATGGCATTCTGAGGAGTGTTGCCTCTTTGACCAGGTGTAGGGGCCTGTCCCGGGGGAGGAGGCCCCGCGGGGGCTTGCGCTATCGACGCTCTGGGCAGTCGGGATCCTGGCCCGGGACTAGGACCAAGGTCCGCTGGTCTACCAGTAGGGCTGGTCATAACGCTCTCCCGTGACTGGGGGGGTGGTCCACGTCGTTGTGCGTCAGGCTGGTTCTGAGATTCCCGCGATGTCCGACCTGTCGGTTGCATTGCACGGTCTCCACTCATCTTCCGCATCGCTTGGATAGGAGCTCTTTCACCAGATTGGTTCTCAGCTGGGTAGCGAATCTTGGCGGTATCTAGAATATATGCCATGCTGAGTTCGACGGGATCCCTCGGCGCAGAGCTCGGCTCACCCGCCAGAACGATAATTTGCTTTCCAAAGGCGGTCATGCTATGGCCAGACCTTGGAGAAGGCGCAGGCCCCATGTTTTGGAAAGAATACCATCGTCGCGTGGAGATGCGGAATGCGGCCAAATCCCCGAGGTCAATACCTTCGTCGGTTCGTCCTCCAAAAATGTACATAACGTCGTTGACAAGAGCCGCAGCGTGCCCTTCACGAGGTGTCGGGATGAAGCCGACGCAATCCAACTGAGTCCAGGTGTTTGCACGAGGGTCATAAGACCAGACATCATTGAACCATTGCAAGCCATTCGTTCCTCCAAACCTGGAGCAGGGTCAGAAATCGAGCGCTTGTATCAGAGGGCCAAGAGGGTATAGACGAAGCATAGACACTTACAGATACAGTTTGTCGTTGAAGCTCACGATTGTATGGTTGGTTCTGGCGGGTGGAATTTGACCAGGCGGAGGGCCACCTTCGTGGCTATTCCGAATAAGAAATTCCCACTTGTTCCCCGGATTCTGAAGCTGGTTCAAGTCGAAACAAACCAAGTCGTTGAAGAAATAGCCTTCGACCTGTCCACCAAAAACATAGAGTCTAGAGCCAAGGATGTTGAGAGTGTGGCCGTAACGCCCAGCAGGTCGAGGACCTGGGGGTATCGATCTGGACCATTGACGAGAAGCTGCATCCCAGACATGTTAGAATATGAACATCCGAAAAAAGTCTCAAGTGAATGAGACCAATGCATGCATACGTACATGTGTTCAAGAGATAGAGCGTGTCATCCAAGGTGTCGGTTTCATCCACCTTGGTATCGCCTCCAAATACAATGAAAGCGTTACCAACCAGCAAGCTGGCGTGGCCGACTCGCGGGCCGGGCCCTTCGGAGACAGTAGCGATCGGGAAACAGGACAAGTTACCGCCGCTGTTTTCCATCATCCACAAATCTCCCTTAACAGTTGATCCATCTATTAGCCCACCCATCATGTAGATGTCGCCCTCCTTCGATGCCACCGCATTGATTGCTGCTCCATAACGAGGGAATGGATTTGTCTGGGCAGAAGTGAAGTTCACGCGTCGTTGCGACCATGGATACAATGATGCACCTGGGCTACCGTTCGGGGAGTTACTGGGCGCCGCCTGTTGTGGTCGTTGGCTCTGCGTATAATCAGCCAAGGCTCGGAAAATGAGTAGCACTCATCACAAGCAGAACAGGAGACACAATGTTGAGTGTCACTGAGGGAGAACATCTGGGAAACCAACCTGCGATTCGGATTCGGCTCTCTGGCGCATCCGCGGGTGATCGGGGCTGTTCGTGCCGTTCAACGAGTTCAAAGAATTATTGTAGCTACTGCTGGGCGTCGGGGTCTGGGAATGTGATCCATCCCGTTCTTTGGCGCCGCTAGGCTGCGCAGCCGCTGATGGGTTTGGGCTTGGGTTTGCCGGTGGCCCTTCTGAAGATTGAACGTTTCTTGACGCGGGGGGTAGGCCAGAACCCTGCTGGTGTTTCTTTGATTTAAAGAGGAATGCCATCGTTAAGATTGAGTCGTAAACGGTCGTCTCAAGTACAAAGCAGCGGAGCAACGGCGGAAGTGTAGTAGGGAACTGGGGGAGTCCACCAGCTGCACCAGGTCACCTGTACCAACAGAGTTCCAATTGCAATGCGATGGGTATATTATAGATCGAAACAAGATATCCCACTAAAGACCGGCAAGAGGATAGCTCAAGAGCGCCGGCTTGTTGAACGTTATGAAAGAGCGAACGGCGGGGAGAATTGAATTCGGAGTCGAAAGCAGAGAAACAACAGTAGGGACCGGCGTTCGTTCCTGACGATGCTAGAAAGAGCAGCTAAAGGCACCCCATTCAAATCGACCCTTCTCTTGAAGACGCTCAACTTATCGATTCGGAGACCGTGAGTGTTGTTCTGTCTCTTTTTTTAATTCCGAAAAAACCTCATTGAAATCCGATGGCGACACTGACAGAGCATGGAGAGGGGTGGAATATAGAAAATCACAAGAAAACAGACAGGGGTGGATAACAGCAAACGGAACGGAACGACTGCGACTAAGGACAAGCAAAGAAGGCCGACGGAAAAGTGGACAACAGAGCACCCAAAGACGAGAAGAACATCAATAAGGAAAGAAAGTAAAAGGATGAAGGGTGCGCGAGCAAGAAGTTGGGGCCCTGGACCTGGAGAATTGGAGGAAGAGAGGAGAGGAGAGGAGACGAGAAGAGTGAAAGACTCCGGCGTTTCACACTTTCTGGCCAGCCAGCATTAGATAATTATCCACTGGGCTTTTGGCAGCAATTAGTTTTAGTTTAGGGGGGGGGAAAGGCAGAAGAAGAGCGAAAAGACGGATGGGGATGCGGACCTGCCAGGGCGACACCGCCTCATCGCCGTTCTCCAAGGCAGCTTCTTACTTGCTTACTTTTCCGTCTTGTGGGAAAGTTAATCTCATTTCCCTCCCTGTCAACACACCCCAAAGAAAGAAAAAAAAAAAAAGTAAATAAAGGTCAATCCATCCTCCCACGAGGCGTTTCCATTCCCCAGACAGTGGTGTTGGTACATCCACCCTCCCATACCTCAACTCTTTCTTAGTTACATTCCCACCTCTTCCCACCCTCCCCGAACCACCTTACAACCTCCCCCATTCATTTCAAGCCTCATTCTACTACTGAATGGCACAGACAGCTAGACACAAACAACTTGTTGTTCTTCATTCCCTTTGTCTTTCGGCTTGATTTCCATCAGATCCCGATGAACCTTCTGTCAGGATCTCATTAATCTGGCTAACAACCAGAGTTCGGTCGATCGGCCTTCAGAATAAGCAATGCAATTCGCAACTGCCGACATGTGTCTGTCGTTGGTCCACTCGGCTTGTCGCTCCACATCGCACCCAGTTATCTGCTTATTCCTCGATGCATGAACGATAGAGGAGATGTGAAATGCAGGGGTATCTACACAGAATCGGTCATCTTGAAAGAGGGAAACAGGTATCCTCCATTGCGAGCCAGTAATTGCAATAATACAATGTGAGTGGATGTGGGTGAGCCACTGGTTATGCAGGAACCAGCGCGAGAGGTTGGTTGGTTCCCTTGTGGCTCCCGAGCCACATCATCGACACCCCGAACATTCCACCTGGCAAACAAAAACTCATCGGCTGGGCAATGTACGCAGTACCGCCGAAGAAGTTTCTTAAATTATGATTAGTCCGACGATGATATCACATTGGCCACGATCTAAACATCCCTTGCCGATTCAGGGCCATCTTCTATGCAGGAACAAGACATCCTCATTACAAAGTACATTACGGACAGCATCCATCTTGCGGGCGGCGCATTTGAAGAAGAATACCGCTCTACGCCATGGCCTGACCAGCCATCACAAAGCTTGCTAGTATCTATGGCTCCATATACTCCATATGCCTTTGGTCTCTGGGCCCAGACATCCGGCATCAGCCGGACATAGATGCCCAATTTAGCATCAGACAGAGGGCGGCTCCGTGTCCCAGATAAGCAGACATAAGGCCAGGTTTACACTGGAAGATGCGCGAGGGACATGAACTTTATTTAGTATGCAGATAGCAACGATTTCGTAGTCTCATCCCTTTGTTATGAGTAGCTCCCGACTAGAGCTGAAATTGTTGCAAAGCAAACAAACCGGGGTCATCATAATCGGCATGGCACTGGCTACGTCACAGTTGTGGCTATAGTAGGAAGCAGTTCGCGAAACGAGGTATCTTTGTCTACGAAGTACTGTGACGCTTCGGATAGGTGAGCTTCCGTTGGATAAAAAGAAGCAAGCATCATGGTAAAAGTCGAATGTGTCGGTTTGATTGGCGACAAGCATTATTCAGGGATTATGAATCCGGTCGGTTCAAACTCCTCCACCTTCTAATTCTGGAGGGCAGTTGATCAACGGTAGACTACCTAGCGAAGCTGACTGGCTGGGGAAATACGGTGTAAAGTCCGGATGGGTTAGCGCTGGGGGAGGGCCAGGCTTACAGACTTACAGACTTACAGTTAGCTCCGCCCGTAGCGAGGCTCCTCTCATACAAAATAGCTCGGGACGCTGCCAGAAAACGAAAACCACGAGATTGAGCAGGGCGGAACCAGGGGTTGAACCGTCCCAATTTCTAAGGGGGGTTAGGGAAAAGAGAACCACTAGGGTCAAGCAGAGATCACATTGGTCCCGGCAAAAGGGGCTTGGTCCGCATTATCTGGCCCATCATTCCCACGACAGGCGAACTAATTTCTGGATTCCAGACAACGGTCGGTTCGATCGATATCTACATACCCTGTGTGGTTTAGTGGCTTATTCCAGTAACCACTGGGACCATGGGAACCGCCAGAGATATGATTCTCAGGCCACTGGGCATGGGGCGCTGAATGGCTGGCCCCCCTTTCAAACCTGCTATTTAGTAAGTCTCTAGTAAGGGACGCAGAAAGTACTGACTACTAGTTACTAAGTAGCTAACTGATAGCTACAGTACTTACTACCTGTCAGTACTACGTAGCAGGATGTCACTACCCTTCCTGTCGTAATTTGCAATGCTCCCATCTCTCAATTGGTTTCTTTCATGGCGGCAGTGGCGCATCGTGATCTGGGCGCTGACGGTTTAGTTTAGTTTTTTTTTCAGATGTCCCGTGATGGTGTGCTGCCTTTCTTTTCCCCTTCATCTTTTGCAAGCCACTCAGAAGCCATCACCCGTATCGGGTTCCCTAACTTCACCACCAATGGGGTTGGTTCGTACCCATGGGTGAACATGGCCCAGCCTGCAGGGCTTGCAGTAGCCCCGTTCTTACCACTTTAATTAGAGCGCATTTTGGGGTGCAAAGAAGGTCGGCTGAAATGAAGCTGCGCCCTTCCGAAAGTACCTAGTCGTTATTCAGAACTTTTCGGTCGGAAGGGTGCATCCAGTCTACTCTCTTACATAGTATTGACATACCGACAGACATGGGCAGACTGTTTCACACAGACGAGCGACTGAAACGAAACATGATCTGACGGCCCTCCGATCGCCGTTAAGCCTACCCGTCTTGGTCCCTTGTCTCTGTTCTCTCTCCCCCACGCCTCCTTACCACCACTGTAGCAGGGTCGTGAAAATATATTGCTACTGTGTACGAAGTATATACTAGTAGTGGGGGAAGACCGAATGCGCAATTACTAACTAGTAGAGTATAACACTTTTTTCGCCACTTTTTGGAGCACTTATTCTGATGTCCGTGTATGTCTTCATGTATAAGTTGCATCCTCCAAATTGTATTGGAGAAGAAGTATGCGAATCAGAACGTTTTGATAGAGTGTGAACCGTGTCAATGCCTCTCCTGAACTCCTAATATAATTATAGCTTGGGTGGGTAGTGGATGGAGTAGTTAAAATGATACTGATCTAGTCCGATTTAGGTACGTAAGAACACCGGAGTTCTTATCCATGCATAGAGCTGGGTACGCTTAGTCAAACTGCTAGACATGTGACTTGTGAACTCTGTAGTGTAAGCTTCCAGGTACCATGAACAATGAAGAATGAATGTGAAAGTACATGTTTCGGAAGAGAAAGGAAAACACAGATATTTCCAATACCTCCTCCACCGTAAAGAGTAACCAGACCACCGCCTCGGTAGAAATATCGTCATCCATGGGAGCTGCCTAATCCAGTTAAGCGCAGGCGTTGTTGGATATGCTCCGGGGACAACGATGTTCCGTCCAGGCCATGCCAAGAGGATCCCGGCCAGAGCTCATGGTTCTCGCCGAACCAACATCATCAAACCAAGTTCCCCGCGTCTTTGGAAGGGAGTGTCAGCAGTTTCAACGTCCTGGAGAGACCGAATCGCTTGGTGTTTGAGTTCTTTTTGATTCCCTGAACGTGGCAGAGCTTCCTCGCCACAGGGCGTCCTCCTAACTGCTGGCTGCTGACTGCTGACCCTCCGGATTGGGTATGAGAATCGCCTGGTCCCAGTGCATGCACTGTGACATGAGTATTGATAAGGTGAGAATATATTCACCCGCGCATCTGCCCTACAGTCGACGCCTGGGCAACACCAACTCCCCGCATGTGAGATTCTCCATCATCTTTGACTATATGCTAACTTCTCCGCATGTTCAGGTCCCGGCCAGCTTCGTCCTCGTTACTTCACGCTGCATGATGACCTTCGATGTATAACAGACCCTCATTGACCAGAATTCAGAATGGAGCCCACAATCCAACAGGCATCGCATCCCGAACCTCGGAAGAGTCATCACAAGTCTGTTCGGGTTGCCTTTGGTCCGGATCTAGAAACACACATTCCCCCGCGTGACAGATCCCCCGCTCCTGTTCCAGGACATCACCGATCATTTACTACCGTGGAGCACAAACAGACTCCCGTTATTACCCCCGAACGACCGACTAGCTCATCTGCAGGCGAGAACCCGCTGATCATCGAGAACAATGGCCGACTGACTTCAGATCGATCGTCGGATTCTGCAAGACCGATTGCGACCCTGAAGAGGGCCCGCAGCGACTATGGGCCCAGAGTGGGGCTTGATAAAGCCATTTCTGGGGATGAGGAAGAGGACATTGCCATGAGACATGGATGGCAGGAGGAATATACCTCGAGCGAGTACCTGAAAGTCCTGCACTCGGTAAGCAGATGCAACGGATAGCTAAGGCTTACAATCCGGTCGGATCTGACTGCTCTAGAATTTCTATATGTATTTCACAGAGAAGCGCCACGAGACGAACGGCATCCCTAGGGATCCGGTCGGAAGCTGGCCCAGCCAAGACTGGCGCATGAAGGACCGCCTGAAAACCGTCTCCGCGGCGCTAGCCATCTGCCTGAATATTGGCGTCGACCCGCCCGATGTGGTCAAGACGAACCCGACAGCTAAGTTGGAATGCTGGGTCGACCCCACGTCTACTACCGGCGGTGGTCACAACAAGATCATGGAGCAGATCGGAAAGAAACTGCAGGAGCAATATGAGACACTTAGCTTAAGAACTAGGTACAAGCAATATCTTGACCCCTCTGTCGATGAGACGAAGAAGTTCTGCATCTCTCTGCGCCGTAACGCCAAGGACGAGCGGGTGCTGTTCCATTACAACGGCCATGGTGTACCTCTCCCTACTCAATCGGGTGAGATTTGGGTCTTCAACAAGAATTACACTCAGTACATTCCGGTATCCCTCTACGACTTGCAGTCCTGGCTTGCAGGACCTAGCCTGTTTGTCTTTGATGTATCGCATGCAGGGAATATTGTGTCGAACTTTCACACCTTTGTCGAGAAGCATGAGAAGGAAAACGCAGAGGCGAAGAAGCGGGATCCAAATGCCATCGTTCAAAACTACGGGGATTGTATCATACTCGCAGCATGTCAGAAGACAGAGTCTCTCCCCACGAACCCCGATCTCCCAGCGGATATTTTCACTTGCTGCTTGACTACGCCTATTGAGATAGCCCTTCGTTTCTTCATCCTCCAAAATCCCCTGCAGACGAATATCTCGATTGACGAGTTCAGAGTGCCAGGCCGCTTACAGGACCGGAGAAGCCCGCTTGGAGAGCTGAACTGGATTTTTACTGCGATCACGGACACTATCGCCTGGAACACATTGCCACGGGCGCTGTTCAAGAAGCTCTTCCGTCAAGATCTCATGGTCGCTGCTTTGTTTAGAAATTTCCTGCTTGCCGAGCGTATCATGCGAACATACAAGTGTCATGCTATTTCGTCTCCTGAGCTTCCAGAAACCCATCATCACCCGCTGTGGAAGAGCTGGGATCTGGCAGTTGAAATGGTCTTGTCACAATTACCAGCTCTCATTGACCACGAGGAGGGCCGCAGGCAATATGAGTATCAGCATTCAACATTCTTTGCCGAGCAGCTTACCGCTTTTGAGGTTTACTTGTCGTCAGGTCCAACGGAAAAGAACCCGCCGGATCAGCTTCCGATTGTGCTACAAGTCCTTCTCAGTCAAGCGCATCGACTCAGGGCGCTGATATTGCTTAGCAAATTTCTGGATCTAGGACCTTGGGCTGTCCATCTGGCTCTGAGCATCGGAATATTCCCATATGTCGTAAAGCTCCTGCAGTCCGCCGCCCAAGAACTGAAGCCCGTGATGGTCTTCATCTGGGCAAGGATCATGGCCGTCGATCATACAGTCCAAAACGATTTGTTGAAGGACAACGGAATCCATTACTTCATTTCCATCTTCAACCCTTCCTCGCCAATTCCCGTGGGCAATGCTAGCGAACATCGAGCGATGTGTGCGTTCATTGTCTCAATCTTTTGCAAGAATTACCCTCAAGGCCAGAATGTGTGCCTTTCTGCTGAGCTCTTTGACTCCTGCCTTAAGCACCTCATGGATGTTGAAAACCCCCTGTTGCGGCAATGGTCGTGTCTCTGTATTAGTATGTTGTGGTCTGACTTCCCTGAAGCCAAGTGGATGGGCATTCGTTGCGCTGCTCCTGCAAGGCTTTGCGAGCTCAATTTCGATCCGGTTCCCGAGGTCCGAGCTGCAATGCTCCATGCAGTAACGACTTTCTTGGGTATCCCTGATTTGACAGACCAGGTTGCCCAAATAGAAGAGTCTCTGGCTATGACGGTGCTACCTATGGCATCAGACGGCAGTGTCCTGGTGAGGAAAGAACTCCTGGTCTTCTTCTCAACGTTCGTGAGGCGCTACCAGAACAAGTTCCTGGTTGCTGCCTATGAGGAATTCCAGGACGAGAAGCAGAACCTCCTGCTGAAACTGGAACAAGATGGCACTCGGAGTCTTTCCTTAGAGGATGTGCCGAATATCTCAGCGAATGGCTCCACGGATCCCAACCATAGGTCGCAGATATTGTCACGGAATACGACTTTTGGTACTATTTGGAAACAACTACTAATTCTTTCTGTTGATCCCCATCCTGACATTGCCCAAGATGCGGCCATGGTGGTCGACTACATCCACATTTGTCTTCTTCAATCCCCTATGGCGACGCTAACCAACAAGATTCGCAATGAGATTTTGGATCTCTCGAGTCGTGTATCCCAGAAGTTTCAAGTCCGAGAAAGGCCAGAGTCAAAGAAGACGGCGCCACCGCCGACTCCTCCTTCCGCTGCACCGCCGAAACAAGAAGGTTACCTTTCACTGAGCCTAAAACGAACGGCGAGTGTCGCTGCATCGCTTAAGAATTTGGCGTTCGGCAGTTCATCTGCGGGCGAGGCGCAGTCGCAGCAAACGTCAACGGCCCCGAAGAGCCGAGTTCCCATAACACCCAGAGGACGAGCCCCTCCCGAATGGACGCGGCCCCCAGAGGTCAACGACCAAGTCGCTCCCGCGACTGCGTATCACCAGGCCCCGACCCCTACTTCACGAGGCTTTGAACCCAGAGATCCCACTGCTGTCCCGACGATCCCCTTGATGAGCAGGTTCCTAGATTGGTCCACAGAGGTAATCCCAGAACTCCTTGATGCAATAAGCGCGGAAAACCAGATTGAGTATGAGCAACTTCTTACCCTTATTCAGTACTTCCGGGAACCCCAGATGAAACCCAATGAGCCCGACGAGCCCGGTAGTGCGGATTACAACGAACGCCTTTGGAGACGGAGTCGCAACGAAAAGATCATTTCGGAGACCCAACCCCTGAAGGGAGTAGCCGGCAGTAGCCGATGGGATAACTCCTTGTCTCTCTTATCTAACAGCAGTCAGCCCTTGAAGATGTGCTTCCACCAGTTTGAGGATCATCTCGCTGTTGCGGACGACAGGGATACGATTGCGTATGTGCTTAGGATCAGCCGTGCCTTTCTCTGCTAACATCAAATAGGATATGGGACTGGCAGAGCCACAAACGTCTCAACCGCTTTTCTAATGGCAACCCAGCAGGCTCGAAAATCAACGAAGTGCGGTATATTAACGAAGACGATCAAGCACTCTTGATGACAGGCTCCTCCGATGGCGTACTGAAAGTGTTTAGGAACTATGAGTCCGCCAAAAAGGTCGAGATTGTCACGTCTTTCAGGGCACTACCTGAACTGATCCCCAGTAACCGGAATGCCGGCCTGGTTCTCGACTGGCAGCAGGGTCAGGGCAAAGCGTTGGTCGCAGGAGACGTCAAGGTTATTCGGGTGTGGAACGCAGCCACCGAAGTGTGCACTAACGTATGTTTCCACATGTTGAGGATGGGAACACTCTTCTGACTATTGCATAGGATATTCCCGCAAGGTCCGGCTCTTGTATCACTTCTTTGACGTCGGATCAGGTTGCAGGAAATATCTTCGTGGCAGGCTTTGGCGATGGCGCTGTTCGAGTGTTTGATCAGCGTCTCAAGCCGACAACCTCGATGGTTAAGGTCTGGCGCGAGCACAAGCAGTGGATTACCAACGTCCACATGCAACGCGGTGGATTGAGAGAACTGGTGTCTGGTAGCCGAAATGGCGAGATACGACTATGGGATCTTCGAATGGACACGCCTTTTTCAACGTTTTCGGCGACTAAGGATACGCTTCGCACATTGAGCGTGCATGAACACGCCCCTGTGTTCATGGTGTACGTGGCTCTTGCCGAATATGGCTAAGCATATTTGCTGACTTGTATGAACAGGGGTACCAACCGACACGAAGTCAAGACGTTCAACGTCAATGGTACATATTTATCCACCTTCGAGCCCTACTCGAGCTTCCTCCACCACAACCGATCTTCCCCGATTGCCAGCACGGCCTTCCACCCTCACCGCACCCTGCTGGCGTGTGCTGCCCTCAACGACAACCACATCAACCTCGTGAACTGCTAGTTCATCTTCTATCCTTCTTCATGGCCATTCCATCCCACCCTTATACCACTCGTAGCAACTTTCGGCGCCTGGAATTTCGTCCTTCCGGGCCATGTTCGATTCGAACTGTTTTCCTTTTGATCTTCAACCTTAACACCTTTTAATGGCAATCATGAAGCATCACTTTCTGGCGTAGGTCGGCTAGCTTTCTGCGTTGGCGCTAGGAAATTTTTTTCGTTTCCGTTCTTATCATATGGTATTGTTTTTCTATTCTTTCTCTTGTCTTCCTACTTTGACCGTGTCGCTTGTATATGGATGGACATAGCTGTGCAGGCAGACCAAGGCTTTAATCGTCAGTTATACCCAGTGTTGGGAGAAAAATTGTTGTAAGATTGTAGATAGCATTGAACTCATCTGAACGTAGACGAGTGGCTAATTCAAAGCATGCTAGGTATGAGCTTCAGATGACAAGCTGTAGCGAATATACCATGCATGTCCTTGCCTTGCTTCAGATATATAGTGGGGCCCATGGTTTTCATAATGGAGGTATTAGGGAAGTTATCTACATTCGTAAAAAAGTTACTACTAGTAGCTACAACTCAATATTAACAATTCATAACTATTTTACAAATCTAGATAACTTTTTACTAACTCTTTGTATTACCCTCCACACTCAGCCCACTCCACCCCCAACATGTGGAGGAATATAACATTTCCTGGGTTTCCACATAACAAATTTATCCTATCGAATAGTCGTTATAGTTATCAGTACCCGTATTGAAGCATGCTCATACCACTACTACTAGTAGGAGTATTTCGGAAGAGCTGAAGAGGGTTGTATTATACTTTACTACATCACAGCAACCGAATATAAATTATATACTTAGTACCATAACAACCGGCATCTGACCAATATGGAGTCACACTAATTATACACTTAAGTCCCCTTATACCACACATAGTACATGAAACAATAATTACAACAACATAGAAATATCATACTAAACTTTTCGCCTTCCAGTCAACCCCGCCCCCCCCAAAGAAAAAACACCCACATCCTATCCCCTTTACAACATGAACCTACTGCAACTCCCTCTCCCAATCCGCCGCCCACAACGCCGCCCCAACCGTATTCGTAAACGCAAACACAATCGACACAAACGGGACCATTTCCAGCGCGAACGCGGCCATTCCGAACCTATACATACCCTAGTCATCAGTCATCACATCTCCACCCTCCAAGGAAGAAAAACAGAAAAGAAAAAAGGAGATAAACATACCCAGTATACTTCCCCCTCCACCTCCCCACCCACCTACTCCTCTCCGCCTTCTTCCACCCCTTCAACCCAAACCACCGCTCATGCACCCCCTCACCGACCTTCTTCCCCTGCACATAAACATACATGATCGTGCCCACTACAGGCACAAAGTTCAGCGGTAGCAACACCACACTCCTCACCAACATATTCCACATATTCGTTTGTCTTTCCTCGACTTCCTCTTTACCCCCGAAGCGGGAGATAGCATCATCACCACCGCCTCTCTTCCCAGACTGTTCAAGTAGCTTCTCCTGGCCCATTTCCACCAACGTCGCATCAAACGTAGCGGTGATAGCATCCGCGAGGAGGAACGACCTTGCGAGGAAGGTGGTTATGGTGGAGGATTCGCTGAGGACGAGTAATGCCGCGGAGAAGGGAGCCAGTAAAGGTCCACTGGTAATGGACATAATCGCTGCTTGAGGGACGTAGGTGAAGAAGAACATGGCTGTGGTGACGCCTACGCCCAGAGTGAGGGTTTTGGAAGACCGTGAGAGGAGAGGTTGGCGGAGGGTGGGGCGGTTGAGGGTGTAGATTATTCCCTGTTCATTCATTACATTTAGTATTTTTCTGAGTTGGTGGGGAGGTAGTAATGGGGGTGATTTGTGTAGTAGGTATATGAGTGGCTGCGTGTGGCGCACCTTAATTGGGTAGAAATATGTCCCGGAGAGGACGACATCTTTGGCGATGGCCCGGATGTGGGTTGCTTCGTCGATGAGAGCTCCTGTTATTTTGTTCATGGTTGGTGTGGGGGTTTAATGTGGTTGGTGATAGTGAGGGTGTTGTTCATGGGGGAGGTGTTGCGGAGGGAAACTTTTGGATGGCGGTGACGTCGTCGGGAGCTAGCTAGCTAGCTACTTACTGTATCCATTAAGTGGGGATTACCCCATTGGGACATATTTAGTTCCGGACGATAACTATACTGATGTAAACATATTTATGATATTTTCAGTTAACTAGCTAGCCCCGCTCATCCACTTTATAATACATATTGTAGGCTATTTATCTCTTCAAATAGGACATGCTCGCAGTGATGGTACACGAAATAAGCCACCTTGACATACAGAAACAGGCTCAGTAGTCAAAGTAGCTATGGTTGCCGTCCTGGCTGGGTGAACAGTAATAAGGATCCACGCTTCCCCAGTCAGCAAAGTTGCCAGCCTGCTTCTTGCGATCTTTGGCGACGTAGGAATAGAGATTGATGATTGCGTCACCCAGTAGCTGTGTTGTCTGTTTCTCCTTCTCACTAGCACAGTTCTCTGCGATTCCCTTGACTTGCTGGCGGAGTTTTTTGTGTCCTCGATTATCCTTGTGAAACCACGCTTCTGCTTCTCTAACGGGCCTGGTGAGTCCGGGAGGAGTCCTCAACATGCTGTCCTGCGCGGTGGAGTCATTGTCAAGGTGAGACACAATGGCTGTACTGGTAGACTTGGTCTCGGATACCTGACTCTCCTGTGGCGCATGAGTCTTGACTGGACTGGTCTCCACGGCGCTTTCCCGGACCAGAAACTGCTCATTGTCCAGTTTGGGGCTTTCAGGCTTCTGTGAAACGTTCTTGAGCAGCGCGGTGACCTCTTCTTTGAACCTGCGCTGTTTCTCCTCCCTTTCCAGCTCAAGAGTACGCGCGCGCTCCAAATGAGTAGTCGAATACTGAGCCCCAGGACCCGAGATCTCCAGGCCAGATGTGATCCGGGTTTCAGGACGCTTGAGACGGGATTGAACTCGCAGGGACTCGTATGGGGACTGACTATAGGTTCGATCAAAGTTGGCTCCATAGAGGTCCAAGGAGGTATGCTCGGAGACCGATTCACGAAGAGGGGTGCCCAGCGAGTAGGAGGACTCATAGGATCTGGTATAACTCAAAGGATTTCGTTGAAAGTGACCATCGTCGCTGCTCTCCCATCCGTGCGATTCAAGACGCGAAGGTGTGAAGCACTCTGCAGGCATGCTCAGATGACGGTCTGCCTGATTTGCACGGTGCATGGCCGAGAGATGAGATAAGGCCTTTTGTTGGCTCATGGGACGTGGTTCTTTCGGTTCGCTGCTTGACGACATTTCTGATAGAAGCTTTCGCGTTTTGGCACCTCTTTTCGAGCCTGTCTTGGTGCAGAGCTGAAACAAAGGTACTGGCTGAGAGGAGGCCAGATCCTGGTAGTTGTCAAATTCGTGGTCTTCGTCTCGGTACACGGTGGACGGTTTGGTGAAGAGTAGACGACGAGACGCCATGGTGAAGTTTCGCTGGTGAACGACGGTGCTAGACAGCTGAATAGGACGAGACGCTGAAAGAAACGAGGAAGCTAGTAGAAAAAACGATGAGACATCGGGGTCATGCCATGGAGATGCAGACGACGTGACGCACTTGCACATTGTGAGTTGCGAAGCGTACCTGCCCACTTCGGGAAGTGCTATCATTCACTTGTTTGAACTGTCCAGTTTGTTGGGTTTGCTGTGTTACGCCGCTGCCTCTGCCTTTGCCAAACCACCATGACTTCTGTCAAGACAACAACACATTCCATGCTGAAGGCCCCGCAGGCACTGAAATGTAGTTGATGTCCATGGCTGCCCAACCACTCACAGTATGGTTACGGCAGACGTCGAAGCAAGATGTCAAGTAAATATATGCAAATCAACTCCCAGACTACGCAGTATCTTCGACGAAACTTGATTACTATTCCGCACATAATAAATTACCACATGTCGAACATACACGTGTAATAAATAAGTCAACCTTTGCATGAGACTGATGATACTTGCTTGCAAGTGCCTCTACCATTGATTCCGCTGCGTACCACCAGGGCCCATCGAATGGTATCCCATCTTGCCAGAGTCTAGCCTGTTGGTAGGGCTGAACTCAGAAGATCCAGTGTCCTGGCCGTAGGTGTTGTAGCTGCTGCCTCCTGTACCACCGCCGAAGTCCTGCATCGCTCCACTGTCCATAGCCCGCGACTCATAGCCAGTTCCTGAGCCACCGTATCTCTCCGGTTCATGTCTATAATCTGCAGAGCCAGTACCAAAACCACCAGTATTACCATAGTCGTAGGTGCTAGACTGAGATCCGTAGCTGCCGCCGTAGTCACCAGTGGTTCCCGAATCGTATGTGTCCGTCCTGCGCTCGTAGTCGCCAGAACTGTAGTTCTCCGAGCTGGGCTGAGAGTTATAGGAACCATCGCCAGGTCCATATCTCTCTCCGCCGCCCGAATTGTAGTCATCGGCACTGGGCTTGTTACCATGACCTTTGCCTAAATCGGGGGTAAGTTAGGAGACGAGTCGAGGCAAATCATAGATAAGATCATAGGTATTCATACGGGAATTGGAATTGTTGTGATGGCCAGTCAAGGCATCTTTGACCTTGTGCATGAGATTCGACATCTTGACGAGTCCTAGGTAGAAAGGTGATAATCACTAAAGCTGCTTAGATCTGTGATCAATGCTCCGATACGGCATGTCTTGCGAGGTTAGCACACGTTCAAATAGAGTCCAAGACCATTGTGAACGTCTGGCGGGGTTAGAAGCCACCCAAGCTTGTCACCACAAAGGGCAAGACAATGGAACGAACACCTGCTGGGGATGACGTTTGTACCAGAAACTAAGCTGATGGTTGTGGGATGATGGAGGAAATGAAAAGCGAGTGTCAAGATGTCATCCACGTCATGCCATTGAGACAGCTCCATCCAGACCATGGGGTTGGCCCGTGAAGCTCCGCAGCACAAGCCACGGAACCCTGGATGGCACGCCACAAATGAACCCCGCTTGTTTCCTTGCAGTCCCACAGGACCGAGAATTGCTGATGTTCTAGATTTCACAGAGAAGTGATGAAGACGACTGCTTCTCTTCTCTGGAAGCACGTGATTTACGGTTAGTGATGGTTCATGGAGTGGATAGTGATCATGTAAGCGACAGGAATGACACTTGTGAACTATAGTTTGTAGACAGGTAGACCGTGTTAGCACTGTTTCTACAGAGTGGTCAGGTGGGGGTCCCCCATTGACTCGACATCTACAAGTACACATTCCTGGGTACATGAAACGGACCCCCTGCGTTGTCGATCGCTTTACTGTGTACCCATGAGAAAAGGCACTAAAGTCGAAGTCGACAGTGAATATTGCGCAGGTGTGGGGAATGACGGGAGGGCAGTTTTCATTGATCTGCGGGGGAAGAATAGAACACTGTGGATTTACATTAAATTGAGGAAATGAGAGAGTAGTATTGTATGGTAAAAAATGGGAGGAGGGTGTGACACACAATTGAAAGATGCTGCCATGCGCCACACCATATACAAATACAATAATCATAATTAAAGGGTCTCGTGAAAGGGAAAGAGTCACGAATCATAGACTATCTAATTATTAAGTCAAATTTTAAATTGAAGAATTGCTGATGGAATTGGGCAGCCCAGCCCAAAATGCACGGGCGCAGGGTCTGTGACGTAGTACTCTGTAGTACGAGATAGTAAGGGTGAAAAGGTATGGCGGTTGCCTGACAAAACCTGAGGAAGCCACTAACTAACCAATTAATCAGTTAAGGGAACTCCCCTCCCTCAGGCAGGGAATCAATCCCGTGACTGACTGCCCCCCCAAGTCAGAACTGTCTGACAGAGAAACTACTAACTAACTAACTAACTAATACCTACCTACTACCTGAGGGAGAGACACGGAGGGGACAGAGAAAAGAGGCTGTGCTTGCGTGTCCGGCGACTCGCTCACAAGTTGTTGATCATTCTTTTTGCCTTTCTTCCTCCTCCACATCGTCCCATCCATCCCATTCCCATCCCCATCCCCATTTCCATCCCCTTCTCCCTACTTACAATCCTACTACCGTCCATGTCCCTATTCCTCTTCTCTCCCCGTCATCCTTGTCTGGTTGGCTTCTAAAGTACCAGCCCGTCATTGCTTGACCACGACGACTTCCCAACTACTACTTACTTACTCTCCTTATCATCTGGTTCCTTCGCGCCTACCCTCCTTCTCCCTTCCCGTGCGCTCTCGATGAGTGTCTGTTCTATTGCGCTTCATCGACCGTCTGATTGGTCCTAAGAATATCGCCTTCCTGCACGAAACCCGCTGGCCCTGAGCGTTGATCTTCCTGGGCTTCTTTCCTTTCCCGCCCCCCTCGGCCAAGCAATATCTGTTCTATTGCATATTCCAGCACACCCTTTCAACTATGCGACCACCACGTTTGATTGCTGTCGTCTTCTGCCTCATCTTCCTCCCCATCATCCTCACCTTCTTTTCTGCTTTAACCTCCTCGCCTAGGGTGTCCACCCCCGACTCACTCGCTGGTCGAGCGACGGGTCTACACGCCCTCTTCTCCTTCAACATCCCCTCATCCCTCTTCCCGCCGTCCGCCATCATCAGCCTTACCGATGACAACTCCACCTTTTTCCTGGCCCGACCTGCTGCGTTTGGCCCTCTGCTGCCGGACAAGGGACTTAGCGGGCAACTCTGGATTGGCAGTGGCTTTGGGGAACGAACAACCGCTGGAGCGGAAGGGGAGCTAGGATGCTCCGATATCCCGGGTTGGGGTGAGGGAGATGGTCCGAAGTCAGGCGGAGGTGCAGATACTACAACTGGGAAGTCGGCGTCTACTCCTGGAAACGAGCCGACCGTGCCACAAAGCCATCGCCAAGCGCTTCCCCAACCGGATATCGACCTGCAGCATGACTCTGGTACCAAAGTGGCACCCCCGGTCACAAATGACGGCACGGATGATCATCTCCACCACCCGCTGCCCGAGTCAGAAGTGTCGGACTCAGGCGCCATGGACAAGCACGGGGAGCCCTCTTCAAACCGACAAGCTGCCCATGCTGACATTCAGTCTTTGCAAGAAAGCGCCGAGATCGACGGCAAAGTCGTCCTTCTGAGTAGGGGCGGCTGCGGCTTCTTGGAGAAGGTCAAGTGGGTCCAGCGGCGTGGAGGAATTGCTTTGATTGTGGGGGATGACACCCGAGGAGGCAGCCTCGTCACGATGTATGCACGGGGTGATACATCCAACGTGACGATCCCCGCCCTTTTCACATCTCATACTACGGCACATCTGCTGTCATCCTTGGTCCCTCCGCAAGGGGAGGACTCGGGCGCAGACGATGGATCGGGAACACACACTAAAATCTCCACTCACGGCAGCGCCGGGAAACAACGCATGGACGCCACGGCGACTACCTCTGCCACTGCGTCGCCAACATCAAGTCACAAAGCAGTAGTTCATGACAGTGCGGTGCCTCCAAAGCAGAAGTCTGGGCTCTTCCACGCTCTCCTGTCATTGTTCGGTCTCAGCAACCATGGTGGACCCGTCTGGTATCCACCGGAGGACAGCCGTCGCCCGCCAAGCAGCGGAAACATCAACTGGATTCTACTAGATCGCTGGGACGAACAGGAGCCATCACAGGACGAGACCGAGCGAAAGACCTCCCGAACGAAATCCGATGGTGTTGCCGAAGACCTCAAGAAATTAGGTACCTCGTCGAGCAGTACGGACGGTGATGGATTCGTCATTGGAGTGCAGGACTGGAGAGATCCGGACCTTGTAGTTCCGAAGGGCAGCATTCTTCCATCTCCTACGAGTACAACCGACGCCGCCGGGAATAAGGTGCATACTGGCGTCAAGGGCTCGCACCCCACCCCCGCGACCTTGAAGGGTGGCAGCATCACTCCTGGAAGTGGCGAGTATCGCACTGTCGAGAAGTCTAGCGTTGAAAAAGAGTCGAAGATGGAGTACTCCGGCCACAAGTCCGTGTATGATGGTCTGAAACCAGGATCCTCTTCTCAGCGCAACGGTTGGTTTGCCAGGCATTTCTTCTGGGCAGCGGAGAAGCCAGCTCCGAGCCCAAGTTCTAGCGCCCATGGGCAGGTTACTTCCGTAGACCAGAAACTGCGTGATGCGACAACTCAGAATGGCAAGGGTGTGAATGCGGCTGAACACGACGGCTTGTGGGTTACTCTCACGCCCACAAGCATGTCGACCAGTCCTTTCTTTGATACCCTCCTCGTTTTGGTTGTCAGTCCGTTGCTCACACTGACTGTTGTCTACGTTCTGTTGTTGCTGCGGTCTCGTATTCGGCGCAGACGGTGGCGCGCTCCGAAGTCCCTCGTTGATCGCCTCCCTGTGCGAACTTATCATACTATTGCGAGGTCGACCTCTTCCTCGGAAACAAGCTCGCCACGATCCGTTAGCCCTGGTCCAGTGTCGCCAACCTCACCACTGTTGGGTGCGAAGAGCCGCTCAGGAGCCCAGCTGTCTCGGTCGCAGCGAGAGTCACATGTCTCCAATGCGAGTGCATCCAGAATGTCGTCATCGAAGAAGGCCAAATCGGGATCCACTCTGTGGCGCCGGAAATACACTGGCCGGCAAGTGGAATGCGTTGTGTGCCTGGAGGAATATGTGGATGGGCAGAGCAGGGTGATGAGTTTGCCCTGCGGCCACGAGTTCCACGCGGAGTGCATGTGAGTAATGATCCTTGAGTCCATTGTCGATCATGCCCATACTAACGATCTTGCAGCACACCTTGGCTGACAACCCGCCGGCGAACTTGTCCCATCTGTAAAGGCGACGTGGTTCGGTCAATGTCGCAGAACAAAGCGGCGGAGGCTCACGAGTCGGCAGAGCCGATGAACGAGGAAGAATACCACCCTGACGCAGATTCTCAGCATAGTTCATCCTCAGCGCCGGTGCCGATTAGCGGAGTGAGCGAAGACGAGACCTCCGATCTCGAGCGGCATGCTGGCTCTGAAGCAGGTCTTCTCGAGGGACAAGCATCCTCGGCACCACCGAGTTGGAGGAACTTTGCCGCACTGAGCTACTCTGCTCTTAGTGGCGATACGATCTGGCATCAGGCGCAGACGGACGGCAGCCGGTGAACTGCGTTGTTGTGCTTTATATTATTAACCGCCCCTGGTTTCATTGGATGTATGTGTTAGTGGAGGTGGGGGTATTCTGTCTTTGCAGCGTTTCCTTTTGTGAGCAGCATTAGCGATGTTTTTGACACCGTCCTTGCTTGGTTGGCGTTTGATGGATTTTATGGACTTTGTAGCGACATTGGCAGGAACAGGTTCAGTTTCAGTTCTGCACTCGCTTGTAATATTACTAGACCATAAGTCAGTGGGAGTGACTATTTCCACCGATGCTTAGGATGTATCCAGTTGCAAGTATTTGAGACGAACTGCACCTTTATGACAGCCTTGTAATCGGCTGCCATACTCCATAGCTGCGATTATGTGATACTACGGTGTTTCAATATCACCGCCATCAAAGTAGATGACGTCCTTCCTAACCATAACTTTAAATTTACACCCCTAACAAAAACATGATCATTTACATCCATCCATCCATCCATCCATACCCACACACAACAACTTACTAAATAAATATACATACTCCCCCATCATGCCACCAAATCAGGCAGGCACACACCCCCAACTACACCCAACCCTCCTAAACGGCAACGGCCTCAACACCTCCCCGGACGCCCTCGGCCCCTTCAACCCATTCTCATACGTACTCACATCCCACCACTCAATCCACTCCGTCCGCGCGAGGACGAATCCCCGATGACACGAGGAACAACTCCGCCCTCCTGCGCTACGAACTTCCTTCGCTTGTCGGAGTAAGCGGGTCATTAGGGCCGGGAAATTGTCCATTTCTTCGTCGGCGATCAGGTCTGGGTATGTTGAGCGGGTAAATGCTAGGAGTGAGATTTCGCGGAGGGAGGGCACGCGGGAGATGATGTTTATTGTTGGGGTTGTTGTTTGGTGGTTGGTGGTGGTAGTGGGGGTTTGTTCAGTAGGGACTGGGATGCCTTCGGCGTTGTAGTATGTGACTGGGCCGGTGGCGACGTGGATAGGTGCCCATGCTTCTTCTGGGGGTGGGCCGTCGTAGGTGATTGATTTCAGGTAGGGTTGTTGTGTCTCCGTCTCTGTGTCGTCATCGGTTGGGACGTGCCATTTGGCGATGGGCTGGTCTTCGATTTGGAGGAGGGGGTTGGGGCGGACGGTGAGGTGTTTGAGGTCGCCTTTGCGGATGAGGAAGAGGAGTTCCCACGGGAGGGTGGGGAGACGGTTCACGGAGAGGTTGAGTTCCTGGAGGAGGGTGAGGCGGCGGATGGCCGCGGGGATGGAGGTGAGTTTGTTGTAGCGGAGACTGAGGACGCGGAGGGAGTCGAGGTCGAAGACTTGTCCGGGGACTTGGGTTAGGGCGTTGCCGGCGAGGAAGAGGCGGAGGAAGGGTTGCAGGGAGGTGTAGACGTCTTCGCTGATGGGGGGCTCTTTGATGGTGGGGAGCTTGGTGAGGTGTTGGAGGGGGTGGAGGAGGTTAGGGGGGATGAGGCGGAGGGTGAGGCCACTATGGGTATAGGTTAGATGTTGGATCTGGATGATGAGGAGGGAAGGTGAATATACCTCAAGTCAACACTGTCCTCGCCTCTCTCGAGACAATCATTCACGATCCCCCGTGCGACTTGATGCTCGCGCGGTTCTTCTTCGACTTTCCTGAATCCTTGTTGTTGAATCTGATTCTGCGGCATCACCATCGTCTTTGTGCCTCCATTCGCATGCGAATTCAACCAATCCTCTCCCAAATCCGCATCAGAAGGCAAGAACCCTGACCCGGGACCAGAATCGTAATCATCACTTCCCATCCACACGCCACTATCCACCAACCGCTTCTCCTTGAAATCCGCCCGCTTGCGCTTCGCGTCCTTGTCCTTCACCATCTCTCCCCACCAGGTGCCGCGGTACCGGCGCTTCCGACTAACAGGCGCATTATTGTAGTTCTCTAGACCCGAGGCGGGGATATCATCGCTGGAGAAGAGTGCCGGATCGCTAGACGGTTGACTGGAGCGGTCATCAATGAAGCGCGAGGGGAGACGGTGGTGGTGAGCATGGCGTGTCGCGTGACGGGTGTTATTGTTGTTGTTATTACTATTGTTGTTGGTGTTGGAGGGGTCGCGATGGCGGATGCGCGGTGGTGGGGGGAGGGGGATTTCGTGGTCCATATTTGATTGTTTGCCACTGCTGTGCAATAATGTGATGTAGTGGTATGTATTCTTGTGTGGAATATCTCGTGTGACGCGATGCGATGCGATGCGATGCAAAGGAAGTAAGGAGGGGAATGAATGAAAGAATGAATGGTATTGATGCGCTCAGTGGCTTTGGGCTGGATCACCTCACTCGGATCATGACGTCCGGTGGAATGTCGATCGATCGTCGGATGGGATGGATGGAAGAGTTCCGGAATGACGGGGAACTCGAGGTCCAGAGGGAATGCTGGATTCTGATTGATGTTGGGTGCTGAGACTAGAGTTGTTTACGAGACGCGTCGCGGTGGAGCGGGGCGGTATCCGCTTGATACTAACTTGACGGTGAACTGATTGATTGTGATTGATATTGATTGATAGCTACCCGGGAGGCCCGGATCTGCTCGGTTTAATTCTTTGCCCTTCATGCAATCTCATTCGATTATTGTATGTAGATCCTTCTCTCATCGAATCCTGAATCTAGATCAATGTTGAGAAGACTTGAATTGGACTAGACTGGCTGCGGCTGCCTCTTTAAGGGGCAATCGCATCATAAGTACCAGTCTTGAAAGCGGATAAAAAAAAATGGTATATTTGCAGAAACTCCATGAAGCCTGCAACAAACAAGCTACTCATCAGGTGTAAATATTATTGATTATCTACATACTACCAGCATAAGGCACATCGGTTCACGCAATTGATTGGGTCGACCCTATACAAACACTATGCACAGCTTCCATCACGGCCGAACCCCGAAGCGAAGTCAAAAAAGTAAAAATAGGTAGAAATAAAGTCCATCCCAACTGCGGTATTCCACCAGCAGTCAAGCCATCAACTCGTCAAATCCGAAACATCATAAGGGGTATAATCAAGAAAGTATCCGTAGTAGATAGGCCCATTGTCCCGAGCACAGTCGATCACAATGTCCCGTGGAGAATCAATATAGGCGGTCGAAGCAGAGAATAAAAATGTTTGATAATCGAGTCATGGTCGAAACCATTCCTCTCAAGGTTCCAGCGCGTGAAGAGTATGCGACAAAGCCGGCAGCGCTGAAGTAACTTAGAGCGCGCCCAGGATCAGCGCCATAGATCCCGCAACCAGCACAGCAGGCATCTTGGCGACCATGCCGTCGGCTCCAGAAGTACCCACGGCAGGGGAAGTAGCAGCGGCAACCGAGGTGCCGGCGGGGATGCTGGAAGTCACGGTGACGGAGGCAAACGACGAGGAGGCAGGCGCAGAGGAGCTGGCGGCGGCAGAGCTGCTGGCGACTCGGCTGCTCGAGACCGCGTGGCTGCTCGGAGTGACGAACACCGAGGAAGTCGAAGGCGCCACGCTGCTAGGAGAGGTCACAGTGTCGACGTGGACCAGCGTCGCGGTGACATAGTTGGTCACCGTCGAGGTACTGGTGGTGTCGGTTTCCGCAGCGACAAGCTGGGAGGCCATCAGGCACAGGACAGAGGAGGCGAGAGTGCTGAACTTCATTGCGATGAGTTGCCGGTAATTCCGATTTGTTCAATTGAAAGATTTTCGGGCTGTGGATATGTACGTTGTCGCAAAAAGGCTCTGACAGAGACTGCGCGAGTAGATCAAACGAGTGACGAAGAAGACGCAAAAGAGTGAGCGTCGAGAAGAGCAAAAGCTAGCGAGGGTAAAGAACGTGGGGAGCACTGCTCGAGTCAAAGGATTGTGAAACGATGCGATGTCTGAAGACGCGCCGAAGGGGGAAAAAGGAGGACGAGGGGGGGTGGACTAAATATGAGCCCCAGAGTGCCAGAGGGTCCGTTTGGACCCAACCAGTCAAACTCGAACCCTCACGAGCGCTGCCCCGGAAAAACTGCTTGACGAGTCGCAAGGGGCACGTCTCGCCTGCCTATTGGCCTGGGGCACATTGAGAATGTGACGGGGGCATTGTTCACGTCGACACGCCGTCAGTCGGTAAACAAATCACCCGGCCACGTTACTCGCCAGCACATCCATTGTTGCGCTGGCGGCGCCTGGCTGAGGCCCGGTCGGTGTGTGCCTGACTCCTTTTCAAGCGACGATCGCCAGTGTGCGGTGCTTGGCCGAGGATACGGTCTGCTCTAGTGAACTCACTAACCGCAGCGGCGTGAGGAGCAGCACACTGGATTGGCTTTGGTTCCTGAATTCTAGTGGTGGTCAGCTGGAGTCGCCTGAAGATTTCTTCCTCCACAACCGTTCGGCTGTGGCTCTTGGAGCCGTGGTTGTCACTACAGGATGCCATGCCTTTGTGTCTCTTCATTTCACACACTCACCACGCTTCCGTTCCTCCTCACTGCCCCCTGGCTTGGAGATTCTAGTTTTGAGACCATCTGAAACTTCAGTGATTCGGAATTTAGCGGTCGATAGTCTGGGTTGGTAGTGCTGAAGCTGACGGTGAAAGACCCCTGATGGGAGGGATGGCAGCGGATTCGGAAAGGAGAGCCGGCAGAAAGAGAGACAAACTCCACTGGTTCGTTCCTGACTAGCGAACGCTGCATCCACTCATCATCCACTGGGTGGCCCCAATGACTCTCGCATTTCCTTCTCAACCGCTTCGCCAAACTCCGGCCTATCCCGCTAGTCCTCTCTAGTCCGGTGCAGGAACCAAGGGACCATTGTGCCCTTGCAGCCGCAATTAAACTCAATCGTTGCGCATTTTTGAGCTGCAACTTCGCACCATGCGTATATGAACACTCTGGCCCCGGCTCCGATTACTTGCTTCGTTCAAATGTCCGCTTTTCCGGTAAGTTCTAGAGGAATCGGCGTGCGAGCTAATACTAGCATGTCCGTTTCGATGAGATACCTATGCTCATATAGGGGTTGCCGCGTCACCCTTTCGACCGACATCATCAACAGCACTCCAAACAGGGCATTGCAATTACTGGAAAAGAGAATTCTATCCAGAATACATTATTGGAGTACCTGCATGGAAAAACCACCAAAAACAACTACCAGTCCAGGCACCACTCGGGATAGCCCCTGATGCCGTACTGGTGAACAATACTAACACTGCCATCTTTGTCGCGCTAGCAACTGTGAGATGTCTGAGGCCCTCTATCAGGAATACTTCTCGTGGAATAGCTGCTCGTATAAGGGACCAAGCTAGTCAACAAGGGCCTTTTTCCGGTCGGCTATCCTTGTGTCTGCTGATGCCAAGGTGGGGGCCAAGCAGTAACACTGTTAATGAAGCCGTCAGTGAAGATAACATCCGCCGTAGCGGTAGAGAACTATGACTTGTAGAGATGATGTAGCATCATTTTCAATTCGAGGGTACCATCTGGCGGTGGCATCTGAGAATGTGCCGGAGGCGCAAATCCATTCCCAGGCTCATCTGCAAGGAGAATGCCCAGCTGATCGTAAGGCTGAGTATTCAATCTAGCCCCATTTTATGTGCTTATTGAGAGCGAATACGATGTCGATCTGTTTCCGCCTTGCTGAGCGCCAGCTGCTGGACCCTCGGTGTAGCCCTGCCTGTTGCTTCCCGTGTTTCTGGAAAGCTATCGGTCACTGGCAGGGGCTGAGGAGCAATCACGATGCCCTGATACAGCAATTTTGTCTCGCTGTTATACAGGCTTCTTAGAGGATAAGTGTTGAAAATATGGGTAAGAAGATGCGCTATAGTGCGGTCATTGACCGGGGTTCTCTTCAGGTTCTGACTGTGGATGAAGCATTTCTCTGTCAAATTGTCTGTTTATATATAACTGTGGGGGTGACATATCTGTAGTATCATCTGAATTCTCACAAATTCCGAGGCCAAAGTATTTGAAGCGATTGTACTCATCGGGATAGAACTGTATAACAGTCAGCTCGGCATATATATACAGGAAGAACCTCTTCTTCGCATCACAACATCTTGAGCCAAATGGCTCCACAAGTAGAAGAGACAAGAATGAACAAGTCGGGCGGAAAATCCCAGCAATTCGACATCCTACTGCTTACAGACATGATCGATCAATTCTGAGGACAAGGTTTGGCCTTGTCAGAAGCACTCATGTGACTCCGACTACAAGGCCTACTCTTCACACTCAGCTTATTCAGAACCCGATAACGAACAGAAGGCCAATATATCTTAGTCAATCGCATACTAGAGACCTCCTCTCCCCCATCATGTCCTAAACTCCGTCCACTTGAGCTACTAGTAACTCAACATCCACATCTACATGCTTTTCATTGATTGGAATCAACTCTAAAAGTCAGAGGCACAGAGTATACAGACTTCTGCTTTTCAGCCTATGGGTGCTTCGAGTTGACCACATCTGTCAATACTTTGAGCAATGTCTCGTCCGATACGCTGGTTAATTGCATTTAGCAATATGGGTGGTTTACTATTGTAATGGTGGGACCGAAGTGTCAGGGTATCACTTGGGATAGGGTTGCTCCGGATGGCGCGAAACATATTTCTGATGTTTCATGAATATTAGATGCAACGGATATGCGGAAGTGGGTGCTGGATGGTGTGGGTTGCAATACGTGATGCAAGTAAATGAACAAGCAAATATAATGACTAAAGGTTCATGTCCGTAAGCGAAAAATATCTTCCATCAACCCAGTTAAACTCGTGCATTAATAAGTACTAACTTTGCTTCAATATAGCAAAAACAACTCAAAATGAACATCACATGTCAAGGAAGCAAATCCCTGACCCCAAACACATTATATACAAAACCCATTTTATCAACCCATCTAGAACAGGACCTGCCTCACATCCTTATTATCCTTGATCTTAATATTCTTCATCATCAACACCCAGGCAATCGACAGCGCCATGACCGCCGTACCCGCAATCATCATGTTCCGCTGACTCCAAGCATAAGCATTCTGAATCGCAATTCTCGTCTCAGATCCCACCGGATAACTCAATTGCACATCCAACGACTCATAAATCTCCTCCCATTGATCCTTCGTTTCTGCGGGCAACAGCTCCCTCAGCTTCTGAGGAAGGGTATTAGTCCAAATAGCACCAGAGACACTAGCACCGACAGCACCACCAAGGTTACCGAATGTGCTCAACAACGCCAACATAGCAGCATAATCCTCATGTCTAGAGGCCGCCAGGACAGCAACCTGCTCAATAAGAATCAAGGTACCACCACCAACAGCCAGGAAGATCTGGCACATGCACATGTATCCGATGTTGAAGCCGGGCTGGCGGAAGTAGATCATCAAGCCGCTGGCCAGAAGGTAGAGCGGGACGGCCCACATGAGCAG